GAGCCATCTCTCCAGCTCGCTGGGTTTTAAAAACAGGTCCCTGGAAGAATAGTATGTGTATGGTGGGCGTACAAGATTGACAGAGGCAATTAATTTTGTTTATTTTAATCAATGATTTGTCCTGATTACCCAGGACCGTGCTTAAAATAGAGTTGCTGTTCACAAATGAACCATTGAGTGACTTTATGTTCCAAAATTACCCTGGAAGCCAAGGAAAAAACCCAATCCTGTCTAATCCAATTTTTTAACGTTATGCCAATTACTAACACGGAAACTCTGTATGGTCTCTTCAGCTCATATCAGGACCGTCGTGGCCATGCATCATTGACAGGAAATGGGCACCAGCTGTCCACTCGGGGAGTGCAGCTGAAGATGTAGGGCCCTGATCCATGTGCCCTTGGGTGTTCTTACCTAAATAGGCTCATATACACCAGCCTGATACCTCCAGTCACCCAATACCCTCCTTGGCTTACACCCAGGGCCTTCAACTCAGCCTGGGTATAAGTTAAAACCCAAGAGAACAACACAAGGCACTCTAGCCCGGGAAGCACAGGTTAGCCATCATCGTGACATAGACACTCAATGCCACCTCCCTTAACTTCACTCAGAATACTCAGAGGGCTCTCCCACTAGCCCCACGAGGGTCTACAAAACACTGCCACACTGTTGGCCAAGATCCCTCAGCCAGCAACAGACACATTTTTCCAATTCCCACACAGCTTTGAACTCTGCCTGTGTCTCTATTAAGAGCCTGTTAGTTTCAGGTTGTATGGACTGGAAGAAACAGGAAGAGGAGAGAGCTAGCTCTGGTTCCACTGTCCAGCTATACGCCAAGTGTTGGCCTCCTAGGCTTAGGTTTACTGTCTAAATAATCCCAGTATTGCTGTCATCGTTAACACTAGGACATGAGAACACCAGAGCTGGTGGTGTTGCTGTTGGTATCAGTGTTGGTGTTGGTATGTTAGGTAGGCCAGCCCACCTAACACCACCCTAAGAATTCATTTTGGCCAGTTCTTTTAAATATGGTTCGTTTAGTTCCTTTGAAAAAAATAATGACAAGTTTCTAAGAAAAAAATTATCAAATGTCCATGCCAAGCTTTCTGAAACCCACTGGGCAAAACAGCTTTCAGAGTAAGCTTCAGAATTTAATCACTTGCAGAGAGTTTGTTGATAGAAACTTTTTCCCTCACCCTTTGAACCTCAAGTTTCACCACCACCTCTGGGTTTCCTTGTATAAGTGGCAGTATGTCCACTGGACCCACACTAACCCACTCCCCTTCTCTCTCCATCCAGCAGACGCTGAGATCTCTCCCTCTGCCAGCCTGCCCCATTTTTAGCTACGATTCAAAGCCGCTCACCCTCCTTCTGTGGCTACCAGGCCCTGGGAGAGGTAAGAAGGTCAAAAGAGGAAACCTGGTCTCCAGAGAACCACAACCTGCCAAACGAATTTGGCAATCCCAGCAACGACACACTTATTCAATGGCCACCCATTGTCTTTGCTCCAGTGAATGAAAAACGGAGCCCTTGATCTGATTGTTTCTAAAAATGTACATTTTTTTTTCTTTCAGGTCTGAGAGTCATACCGAAGGCCTTGCACATATTAAGCAAGCTCTCAACCACTAAACACGAACCTTTGGGGCTTTTTTTTTTTTTTAAGACAAAGTCTCATTATATAACCCAGGCGGTCCTCGATAAGGAAGTCCCTACCTCAGCCTCCCAAGTGCTGAGATCACAGGCTGCACAAGCAAGCCTGGCTATGAAATATGTACTTCTCAATATGTGCTTTGTGCCCTCTATCACAGACATATAGACCCCTATATACCTAAATGATGAAGACTATTACACGGTATAGCGACCCATTTGTGGGTCAGTAGGGATGGCGTAGTCATTTGCTGAGTTGTGGATTTTCTATTGACTTCCTTCCCTGAGTATCGGGTTTGAAATTTAACACTGATTCTGAAACACTCTCCCTTTTGATTTTTACCAAGAGGCGCCGTAGCTTTCCAACTCCGGAACCTGAAGTTGGAGGAGCTATCTGACCTCTGAAACCTGAAAGTAAAATCAGGCGTTATGTGGGAATTGCAGTTAATCTGTCTTGTGTCCACAGATTCCGTATCCACAAATTCAAAATCTCCAGAGTGAACCTGGCCGAGATTTTCCTTGTCGTTCTTCTCCATGAAATACCATCAAAGAACAATCTGAAACCTCTACATTCTATTAGGTGTGATATATAATCTCAGTGTGGTGACTCAGGATGCTGAATAACGGGACTGCTATATTCTGAGAGCCAGTCCAGTTTACAGAGAGATCCAGGCCAGCCAAGGGTACATATCCATCTGTTCTCCTCCAGCGCTCTTTCTCATCCGCTGAGCACAATCACCTTTTAGCTGTCATATCTAGGCCATCCTTACTTCAGACCCGTCCCTATCTAATAAATCTCTTAGTTTATTACGGACAACTACTCTTTCTAAACTACCACTTATAAATACATCACGTTCTCAACTGCTATAAAGAATCCAAATCCTTCTGAGCATCACATAGGCTCCTCTGGGGTCTTCTCCCCTCCAGCCTTGGGGCTTGCCATGCGCTCATCAAATCCTAAGCTCACTGAAAACACCCGATGCTCTTGCATGGCCTCACACTCTGGTCTTGCCAGGAGAAACAGCACACTTCCTTCCCTACTTTCCAGCCATGGAAATCTTCTAGCAGCCATTCCCAATTTCTTTAGGAAGTACATTGAAGGCATCTGACTTGAAAACTACATCTGCTTGGGAAGTAGAAAAAGACAAGATCTCCTGAGTAAATTGGGAGCATGGGGACCTTGGGAGAGGATTGAAAGGGAGGGGAGAGGCAGGGAGGGGAGCAGAGAAAAATGTAGAGCTCAATAAAATCAAATATATATGTATATATATATATAATATCTGCTTGAAATGACTACTATTGATTTGGTTTCAATGGCTGGAGGATTTCAAATTCCAGGACCGCCCCCTCGAAATACTGCTTTTTCTTAGAAAATTGTCTAACTTTTGGCCATTTGAATGAGCCCAGAAACTTTGGATATTTGTTTTGAGACAGAAACAACCGTGTTTCGTGGACTGGGACGTGTTTGAGAAGAGACCTACAGAGATGATTAAAGCTACTCAACTAGGAGAAATGGAGGGGAAAGCCAAAGGCAATGTGATAATCAATGTCAACCATGTGACAGGTTGCTATTTACAAGGAAGATGACCAACTTGTGATGCCCGTACCCTCCGAGGAGAGAAGCAGGAAACGAGACGAGTTACAGACTAGAAAACAGGGTTAAATAGCAAGCCGCCTCCTTGGCAGAAAACATTGTGAAATACTCAAAATCTTAACAGGCATGATGCCTTCGTCGTCTTTCCTTCTTCACATATGTATACAAAACATGCAAGATCCCCAACTATCTGGAATGTTCTCTACATAGTGCTGCCAAAATCTCAGGAGGCATACAGTTCTGGGAGCAGTCCTCCGATCGATGGATATAGATTTCTGCCACTCGGGGTCCTTCCGATTCTGAAATCTTGGAGAAGGTATCTAAGCAGAACGGAATTTAAGTCGCGGTCCCCCTAAACCTTTATTAGGCCGCTTTTCTAGGTCAAGCTACCAGGTACCATCATGATACTGCAGGCCAAGTTTCTGCTCACAGAGGAAAGAGTCTTGTCATACATCACTCACAGGAAACGCGGTGGGGGCTCAGCTCTCAGCAATCTCTCTGCTCTGGTGCACATCCACATTACAAAGCAAACACCAAAGCCGCACGCATTTCCTCTGGGTGACACCACGCCCCACCTGCTTTAACCTCTATGCATATACATATGCTAGTTCCTTAGCCCACCATGCCCTAGCCCAGCTTATAAACCCTGACTTATATAATTCTCCTTGTCCTGGAAGTCATGGGTCAGGCATCGCCCTCTTCAGGTTTCTGTGTTGTTGCAGCTAGCATTTCCATCCTGGACTGTGCCACGGCTTCATGATCCCTGACTATAAGCACTAGAGAGTGACTCAGAGTTGCTGTCAGGGATGAGAGCTTATTGGACAGCTAGGAAGAGCTCAACAGTAGTTTGTCGTCCTCGAAATGGCTAAATTCCAAGGAGGTTGATGCCAAATGGCAGAGGGGCACAACTGTCTCATGCTCAAAAGTACCAGAGCTATGCGCCTGTACCTCACATGTGACTCAGAAAATAGGCCTTCTATCCTCATCCTCAAGACCTAGAAAACGATTTAATTTGCCTATTAGGTCTTATGATTAGCCTATGGCTACAACGTGGCGACAGAATCATCTCTTTTAATCTCCCGACGAGGAATCAGTCAGTAGAAATCACTTTCCCCCTTGTACATCCAGTATGGAGGGTAGTGGGGTCACATCTGGGTGAGTACCAACCCAAGGAAGCACAAACAGAAGATTTAGCGAAAAGAAAGATTTATTGCCTGTCTGAGGTGAGGAAATCACTGGGATTCCTCCCTGAGCAACATTCTTCCTAAAGAAGCAAAGCATGGGGGCTGGAGAGATGGCTCAGTGGTTAAGAGCACTGGCTGTCCTACAAGAGGACCCGGGTTCAATTCCAAGCACCCACATGGCAGCTCACAACTGTCTGTAACTTCAGTTCCAGGGGATCCAACACTCTCCCACAGGCATACATTCAGGTAAAACACCAATGCCCATGAAATAAATAAATAAATCTTTAAAACAAAAAACCAGGTAAGCATCAAAAGTAGTGACAACTGCTTACTGCCTTCTATTACCTGTATTTCTCTTAACATTTAAAAAAAATTAAAAATAACAAAAAGAAATGAAAAGAAGCAAAGCATGGGAATTTTAGTTGGAAAGCAAATTGCTTAACATGTACATTTCTGAGCATTCTCATTGAAGGTCCCAGCTCGTCAGGAAAATGTGGTGGGGACAGGGAGAATAGTTCTAGCCGCTGCATCCATTTCAGTACTATGAGACATTTACTTCAGATCACTTACCTGAGTTTGCAAGACTCGGTGACTTTAGCTGGCTCTTTCAGTTGGCTCTCTGCACATCTCTCCAGAGCTATAACTGCAGTCAAAGGGAAAACTCTGTATTAATATAGAAATGTATCTCCAAAGGTGCACTCCCTACTTAGCAGCTAACAATTATAGATAGGAGTGATCATTTCTCCATTAAAGAAATTAGCGGGGCTGGAGAGATGGCTCAGTGATTAAGAGCACTCGATGTTCTCCGAGAGGATCCAAGTTCAATTCCCAGCACCCTCATGGCAGCTCACAACTGTTGTAACTCTAGCTCCAGGGATATGTGTGTGTGTGTGTGTGTATGTATACTTGCAAGCAAAACAGTCATACATGTAAAATAAAATAGATAATTTTTAAAAAGAAGAAGACATTAGAAGAGGAAGAGGAAATTTGTGGCAGGCAGTGCTCATTCTCGTTTACTTATCACATCACAGACCCAGCTCTGGTGTTTCCTCTCTGTGTGCCCTCAGGGTAGGAACTCTACATCTTCCTCTTTCTTAGAACGGTGCGTGCAGAATCAGGAATCAATAACCTCCTATAGAATGGATTAGTAATTGATCTTTGTTGACAGACTCATAAAAGGCAAAGCTGTTCATCTCTGTGCTCAGCAGCCAAAACTTCTGTGTCGTTTGTTACATGACGTTAGAGGGAACATGTGGTGAATTTTAATCTTGCTGACAGTCGGGGTGGTGTTTGGATCAATTCCAGGGCTTGATTCATGCTAGGCATGCACCCTACTATTGACCTACATCCTCGGTCCTTTCGGAATTCTTAATAAATTCAAATCAATATAAAAAATCTTGGTTAATCAAAATATTCCCAGAATTGAGGGCTATGATGTACAAACGTAATACTTAAATACTGAGTCAAACTGACATATTCATCCAGCTTCTCAAATGATGATACTCAGCTGATTTTTTTTTAATCTAGTTAATAATAAGAAAAGCGATACCAGAAGGTTGGAAATAATCTCTAAACACTGTGAATTAACTCAACATGCCAAAAGTGCATGAGTGACTCCATGGCTACAATCAAAACCAGAAACATAACTGGCTCGCTAAAGGTCATTTCACTACCATCAATGTGTAAAAGTGCATGAGTATCTCCATGGTTACAGTCAAAACCAGAAACACAACTGGCTTGCTAAGGCCATTTCACTACCCTCAAGGTTCACTGACATCTATGAATGTTCAAGCCTAGGCTGTGGCGTAGTTTGTTTACTTCAGTTTCCAGTTGATTCTAAATCACACTTGGCCCTACGATGGCGATTGCTGGACTGGGGTGAATTAGTGTGTACCTTGTTCAACGTGGGATTCATTTGTAGAATTTCAGTCATGAGAAGACTAAATAAGAGGTATGCTGATATTTCTTTTCTGTTTGTTTTTTTGTTTGTTTTTTTTTTTTTTTTTTTTTTTTTGTTTTGTCGTTTTTTTTTTTTTATTCCAAGACAGGGTTTCTCTGTGTAACAGCCCTTGCTGTCCTGGAACTCACTTGTAGACCAGGCTGTCTCTGCCTCCCAATTTTTTTTTTTTTGCTGTTGTCGTTTTGTCTTTGTTATTCCAAGACAGGGTTTCTCTGTGTAACAGCCCTTGCTGTCCTGGAACTCACTTGTAGACCAGGCTGTCTCTGCCTCCCAAGTACTGGGACTAAAGGCATGCACCACCACCACCACCACCCGGCTTGATATTTCTTTGAGAATGTACTATCATAGAGAGTGAGGGTTACAGTCAGGTTTTTGGCAATGAACTGGCAATGCGCTTTGCCCTTCTGTAATATCACAGACAGGTTCAATGTCAAGGGTGTGCCAAGTGTTATTTAAAAATGAGTTTTGAACTCTAAATTTACTTATGTACCAAGAGCTTGCCTAGAAATCAATTCTGGGTCCTTCAATAAACATTTCACATGAAACTTGCATATCTGCCCAAGGTATATGAAAATTTTTTTACATATTCAGTTGACTAGATTATATTCTAAAGTGCCTGAGGAGGCAAGGTTTCCTATCAAGAGCCGGGCGGTGGTGGCGCATGCCTTTAATCCCAGCACTCGGGAGGCAGAGGCAGGTGGATCTCTGTGAGTTCGAGACCAGCCTGGTCTACAGAGCTAGTTCCAGGACAGGCTCCAAAACCACAGAGAAACCCTGTCTCGAAAAACCAAAAAAAAAAAAAAAAAAAGATCTTCACAGGGAGGGTCATATCATTCTCTACTATTTTGAAGGACTTGACAATATAGAGAGATTTTTTTTCAATTCAAATCTAAGTTATAGCTAGCATATTGTACTAATTTTTGCATGCCTACATCAAAATTGCTCTCTGTAATTTTCCATGACAGAGAACTTCATTTTAAAAGCAGACCAGCTAGAGAGTTCAGTGTGGAAGGGCACTTGATGCCATGCCTGACAGCCTGAGTTTGATCCCTGGGACCCTCGTACGTATACACACACACACACACACACACACACACACACAAATAAATAAATAAATAAATAAATAAAATTTCACATTTTTTAAAAAAGCACAAAAGATAGCTTTCATGTATCCAATCATGTATTCATAGATGGACTGTCTGGACAAAGGGTCTTGGAGAAAACCATCAACCACCCTGAGAATAGCTCCATGTGACTTCTGGGACGCTCATGTCTTTGGTGGATCTGTTTGGGAATGTGCAATTGTTTTTGCTGCAGCTGTAGCTTACCTGTGGTTTCAGAAAAACTACTGTGTAAGCATTGTTTATTTGATCCTCTCTTCCTGTTGGAAAACCAGCTGGAGAACAGACATCCTGCCATTCAGAGCCTGGGGCCTTGGGATATTAGCAGGAAGTCACATGAAGCATCCCCATGCCCTTACCTGTGACAGAAAAGGCACAAGGAATGGAACTCATCAGAAGGAACTGATTTAAAACATAAGCAAGCAGTTTGTAGACCATATGTCCTAAAATCCCAGTAATTGCCGTTTGCCTAATAAATTGGCTTCTCCGTGTAGAATTCAACCAGGGAAGGAAAACAGTCAGCTTCCAAATAAGAAGACAGAAAGGCAGGCCTCAGGAGTCTGAGGCAGTTATTAGAATGAAATATCTGTGCACTAGAACGAGGGGTAGGATCACATCGTTTTTATCAGTTGCTTCGGTTTTTAGCGGAAGATGTAGGAGGGCATGGTTAAGGGAGTATGGATGAGAGGAGGGAGCTAGTCACCCCACAAGGTACTTCCACATGTTCTTCATCACAGATAATTACTCACCCTAAAGCAAATAGAGCTATTGCATAAGCATCATTCCAAACATTTTCCCTCTTCCTGGAGGAGGGAGAGGAGATGTAATTACAAAGAATGAACGCTTTTATTCTCCAGATAAGGAGATGGGGTAGAGAGGTTATACGATCTAGCTAAGGCTCTTTATGTAATATCTGAGTATAATAGGGCCAAAGAATTCCTGGAAATGGAATTACCTCGTGATTATCTAGCTCCCATTCTGTAAAAGGAGACTGAGAAAGAAATATTCTGGAGAATTTCTCCTTAAATGTAAATTGGAGCTCCCGAGCAGAGGAGGAAAGAAATAATAAACACAGCATTCATTATTGAAGACACAGTTGAAGTCCTATTGTGCTGGGCCTAGAAACCCTCTTATTTATCTGTATACCTGTAGGTGCATGATTTCTCAGAGCTGTGCATGGGCTCAGTCTACCGACTTTTGCCAGACATTGTTTAGAAAGAGGAGCTAAGCCGGGGATGCAATTCCGCCCAGCATGTAAAGACCCAGGTCCAACCCCCTGAAACAAATAGGTGATGGGCAGATAGACAGACTTACAGAAGGCAAGAGCACAAATATAAACAATTTCTTTAAGACAATCCTCAGAGATAGGGTTCTAGAAACCCCTCATTCTTTGTAACATGGTGAACCCATGAGTCAGACAGATCCAGGCTCAAACCCCGGATCTATCTCTTTCAGCTACACACAGAAGTTACAGCAAGTTCCTGGGGATAAGAAATGTGTCCATAATCTCAGAAAGAAAAATAAAGGCCAAAAACATTTCCTAGTAACTGGAGTTGTATGAATTTTACAAATGTGGATAAAATAATGGCATGCCCTTTTATAATTACATAGTCATCTGTAGGCTTAAAATCATGTAAATAATTCTGTCACTTGAGAAGCAGTTTGATATGCTCATTAATGAAATGGTTTTCTTCTGATTCTTGTTGATATCAGTATTACAGAAGGGCCTTCATGGTTCATCTTCTCCATTTCCATATGGGGATGATGATGCTATCTTGAGAAATGTTATCCCCAACCACAACAGGCAATTCACATAATGAGACAACTGAGTGAATGTTGTCAGAGGTTGCTCATTCATTTCCTGGCTGCCCAGAACCAAAATAATCACTCAGAAACTATATTGATTACAACACTGCTTGACCTATTAGCTCAAGTTTCTTATTGGCTAGCTCTTATATCCTGAATTAACCCATTCTTATTAATCTGTGCATCACCATGAGGTCGTGGCCTCTGGCAAGGTACTGGCTGGCATCTGTCTCCTCTGGCAGCTACATGGCATCTCCTTGACTCTGCCTTCTTTCTCCCAGAATTCAGTTTAGTTTTCCCACCTAGCGCTATTCTGCTAAGCCACTGGCTGAACAGCTTTATTTATTAACTAATAAATGCAACACATATACAGAAGGACTTCCCACACCAAGTGAATTGTGATCTTTTGTGTTCACTTAATGTAATGCAACTGATACAGGCATTTTATTTTAATATATTTATTTAATATACCAGCCCAGTAATTATGAAGATTCCAACTCGCCTCTCACCCAGGAACAAATCTGTCAAACACGAGTGACTTCTACAAGCTTTTGAGGTTACATCAGGAACATGTGCCTTAAGTGGTTGAAACTGTGTCCAAATTTGATAGGCTTTATCAATATTAGTGCATAAAATGATCCACTCCTAAGGAGTAGGTTTAGAAACTAGTTCATCTTATTCTTTAGCACGGTGCTTAATCTCCCCTGAGGATCTGTTTCCTCCATTGTAGAATGGAGCTAATAATAGCACTTTGCTCATGAAGACCAAATAAGATGACGCATTACAGTGGCAGCACACACAATGCCAGACCCCTGGAAGGTAGTGGCTAGTATCCACTGATACTGCCTTGGACCTTCTTCTACTTGATTTAAAACCACACAACCTGAACTTGGACATAAGTCCAAGGCTACACAAAAGACGGAAGGGCAAGCAGCTGTAAACATGTTATTAAAATGTAGATTACAGCCAGGCATGGTGGTGCGCCTCCTTGAATCCTAACACTCAGGAGGCAGAGGCAGATGGATCTTTGTGAGTTCTAGGCCAGCCTGGTCTACAAAGTGAGTTCCGGGAGAGCTTGGGCTGTTACACATTGTCTTGAAAAACAAAAAACAAGCAAACAAAAAAATGTGGATTATTAGCCCATAGGAGTAAAACTGAGACATGATGCATATCTGCTCCTGGAACAGAAAAGACCCTTAGACAAAGGACAAGAACATTCCTGTTGGGGCTGGAGAGATGGCTCAGAGGTTAGGAGAACTGACTGCTGTTCCGGAGGTCCTGAGTTCAATTCCCAGCAACCACATGGTGGCTCACATCCATCTATAATGAGATCTGGTGCCCAGAACATTATATACATAATAAATAAATTTAAAAAAAAGAACATTCCTGTTGTCTTCGCTCAGTGACATGGCCACGCAATATATCTGAATGACAGCACAAAGGACTTCCATCTACAGAAGGAAGACTTTCTATGCAGCAGAAGTTATGGAAAACATGAGTCACGTTGAGACAGAGGAAGAACTTAAGAATGAAGGATTGTTTGGACACAGTACTTTCTCGTTTTTTTTTTTTTTTTAGATTTTGAGACTATCACATATTAACAGTATTACTCCCTTCCCTTTCCTCCCACCAAACCCTCCCTGTGCTCCTCCTTGCTCCCTTTCAAGTTTATGGCCTTTTCTTTCGTTAATTGTTATTGCATGCATATCTGTGTGTGTGTGTGTGTGTGTGTGTGTGTGTGTGTGTGTGTGTGTGTGTGTTATATCCCTAAACATATCCCTGCTGAACAGTGTCTGTGAAGGATTGCTCTTTCAAGATCCCAGATTAATCCTGTTTTTCTGCACACTGACATGAACTAACATACCAAAGAAAAGCACAAAATTTTTTTAATTGATTTTTATTGAGCTCTACATTTTTCTCTGCTCCCCTCCCTGCCACTCCCCTCCCCTTCAACCCTCTTCCAAGGTCCCTATGCTCCCAATTTACTCAGGAGATCTTGTCTTTTTCTACTTGTAGAAAAAGACATGTAGATTAGATCTATGTAAGTCTCTCTTAGGATCCTCATTGTTGTCTAGGTTCTCTGGGATTATGATTTGTGAGCTGGTTTTCTTTGCTTTATGTTTAGAAACCACTTATGAGTGAGTACATGTGATAATTGTCTTTCTGGATCTGGGTTACCTCACTCAAAATGATGTTTTCTAGCTCCATCCATTTGCCTACAAATTTCAAGATGTCGTTATTTTTTCTGCTGTGTAGTACTCCATTGTGTACCACACTTTCCTTATCCATTCTTCAGTCAAGGGGCATTTAGGTTGTTTCCAGATTCTGACTATGACAAACAATGCTGCTATGAACATAATTGAGCACATGTCCTTGTGACACGATTGAGCATCCTTTGGATATATACCTAAAAGTGGTATTACTGGGTCTTGAGGAAGATTGATTTCTAATTTTCTGAGAAATCGCCACACTGACATCCAAAGGGGCTGTACCAGCTTGCACTACCACCAGTAATGCAGGAGTGTTCCCTTTACCCCACAACCTCTCAAGCATAAGTTGTCATCAGTGTTTTTGATCTTGGCCATTCTAACAGGTATAAGTTGGAATCTCAGAGTTGTTCTGATCTGCATTTCTCTGATGACTAAGGATGTTGAGAATTTCCTTAAGTGTCTTTCAACCATTTTGGAGTCCTCTGTTGAGAGTTCTCTGTTTAGGTCTGTACTCCATTTTTTATTGGATTATTTGTTCTTTTGATGACCAATTTCTTGAGTTCTTTGTATATGTTGGAGATCAGACCTCTGCCTGATGTGGGGTTAGTGAAGATCTTTTCCAGTTCTGTAGGCTGTCATTTTGTCCTATTGACCATGTCTTTTGCTTTACAGAAGCAAAAAGCACAAAAATTTAAGACCAGTACCTTAACAGGACAGAGTTGGAGACTAAGAAGGCAAGCTCTTTGACAGATGATCTTGCTTATCAAGTAAATGTATTTTTATTACTTTCATAGATTTGTTACTCCTGCTAGAAAAACAAACAAACAAAAATCATAAACTTTGGAACCACAAAGACCTGAGCTCAAACCCTAGCTTCTCCTCTTGCCCCATGTACATCACAACCTTGTTGGCACCTGACAGCATGCTTCAGCATTGGCACCCGATGCAGAGAAGCGTCAACAAAACCCAGAACACTGTAGATGCTTCCAATATCCACTCTGTCCTCCAGACTGGACTCCTAGCCCTATGCCAGTTTCTAGAAGTTTAAATGACAACGACACAACGCGTTGTCGGACGAGTCCCTCACAATGGAAGAAATTTATTCCTCTGTCACAAAGCTGCAGCACAGGTGGGCTTATCTTCAAGTAAGAAATTCTCTGACCATGGAAGTGGACAAATTCAAGCAATTGTGGACTGAGTGCATGAGACTGTTTGTTACAAAGCACTCTCTGCAGCAGCAGTGCTAAGAAGGGCTGTGCCGCTTGGGCACACTCTTGAAGGGAATCTTTTTTTTTTTTTTTGGTTATAAGACTTCCTTACATGGGAAGCAAAGGCAGGCTGAT